CTAGACTTATGTTTGGTTTCTCTATATTCGTAGTGCCTTGCACATATTAAGCACTCCTTAAGTATCTGCTGACTGATAAAAGGAACACAACGAAAGTTTTTTTGAACAACTAAATAAAAGTGATTTGACCATAATAAATTGTTAGAGCCTATTAACATGGCATGTTATAAGCACACCAAATTCTGTACAGCCCACTTATACTACTGATGTGTGGCGTAAGCCTTGAAATAGAGCCAGGAAGTGAAGACTGCATGAAAGTCTTGGTTTGTTGCTCTAACCACTAGAAATGAGTCTTCCTTTACTTTTATAAGCCTACAAAGCTCCAATTGGCCTCTTTTCTGCTAATGCCAAAAATTTAATCTTAGCTTCCCTTGGTCAGCTGTACAAAAGGAGGCTGCCCTATGAAGCCAGTGCACAAAAGAGGAGTGAGGGGAAAAATAATGGATTTGCAAAGTCAAGTTTTCAGCCATGGTACTCACATGGTTTCCTAATAGAGGCAACACAGAAAAGAAACCCAAATAACAGAAAGCCAACACTATCTGACGCATCAGGACACACTGATGGTAGTAAGACCCCCCAACATTCCCATTTATACTTTGTTTGCTATAAGGTACTTTTCAAGAAAACTAGACATCATATCTGGGGATTTTTGCTCTCATCTTGTCACTCAAAGAATATCCAAACAAACAATATACCATATCCCAAGGTTAACTCTGCTTCTCAACTGCATAATGAAAAGAACACCACGTTCAACTTTAGCCTCCTCACCTACCCTCTTATCTTCTATCATGAGGCTCTTCATAATCACACACTTGAACTTCGGGGCACAATTACTCAAGACAAATGTCCCTGTGAGTATGAAACTATCTCAGCCAGTTTCACTGCCTACAAAATTTGAGACCTGTCAAACTACCCCTAAAGCTTTCATCATCTCCAAAAAGAATCCAACAACGGCAAAAAATAATCAAGATAAAAATACAGTTCTCATTAGGCAAGTATATCACTTTTACTCCAGTATCAGTAAAATCAGTTGAACTGGAACTATTTATATTAGCACATTTCATAATAAGTTAGGAGCCTCTTATTTTTAAAAGGGAAGTCCAAAATCAGCTGCTCAGAACAAAATCATGAAGTCAAATAATATGTCCAGTAATGCACAAAGTAAGCTACTCCACTGTTTGCCAGCTATTGCTTTGAACCAGCACAAGGTATAAACCTAGTTGTACAAGCCAATATTTCTGGTTTCTTTTCACAATATCATACCAGCAGCAGTCTTAATGACATCTGGTGACAACTGATTTCATTTCTAAAAACAAGGCCCAAAAACATACTATGTATTTAGGATAACTCTTAGCATCTACAATAATTCTTAACTTTTACAAGCACTCCCGCAACACACATTTTTGTCCAAGCTCATAGTTTAGTTGCCTGTTCCCAATAAGCCCTTACATTTCTTGGTGATAGTTCAATAAATCTTCCAAACTGAATACAGGGGACCACCAGAGGTTTTAATTTAACAATCACTATGCACATATGTTCTGACCATCCAGCATGGACACAATGGGATAGCACGCAGCCAATAAGACTACCTTTTGCCAAAGAACCAGACATACATGATGATTTTTATTTCCCATTGTGTGTTTTTAATCTGACAAATGTATTTACAGCTTCCCTACAAAAGGGCCTCTTAAAATGTAAACACTGACAGGGTATTTGATACTAGGAAACTGTTATATATTTATTTAGGTGTGATAATACTGCTTTGGGGGTTTTGGTGGGATCTGGGGTTTTTTTGGAGTAATTATGGTTTAGAGATTCATACAGAAGTCTTTGTGGATGAGATCATATGTGGGAAAGGGAGTAGATGAAATATAGAAAAAACAAGATGAGATATGAGTTGGTAGTTATCGAACCTGGATGTTAGGTGGTCTGTTTACCGCTGTATGTTTTTCTATAGAATTTTAAGTAAACTTTTTAAAAAGTTAGACCTTTTATACCCACACACAGATATGCATGCGATATTTAGATATGAAGGTGGCATCGTATTCAGCTAACCAAAATAACTTGGGTTTTGAACGTAGAAAAGTAGTAGAAAAAAATAATCAGAGCAAAGAAAGAAACGGTATTAACCGCACATTTTGAACTTGGTCTTCTTTCAAAATTACAAGTTTTTTAGGCACAAAATAAATTGGAATGAGCACATTTTCTCTCAAAAGCCAAATGGATAGATATATATTACAACCCCAGGCAAACACCTATTTGTTAAAAATAAAATAATCAAAAACAACTGCATAAGTTATACATATATATGTGTATATATCTATATCTATTTATTTATTTATATATATATATGTATGTATGTCCCTACTTGTCCTCCAAAAATGTGGGAATCTGGTGGCCCCTCTTGATTACTGAGAGGGGCCACACCACAGCCCAGAATAACCATGCAGAAAGCAGAACCACTTGTAACCAGCTCTTACAAGTACTTTCCTAAACCAATCACAGACAGCAATGATGAACCAAATTCCAAGCAGTATGTTCTATTAGGAACATGCTGCCATTTCAATTCCTATTTTAAAGCAAGAGAGAGAGACAGAAAGAGGTCACACTGTACGGTAACCACCCACCTTGGCAAACTTAAAGCCACAGTTGGAATTATCCTAAATGAGTGGTGAACCTCAACACTCAAAATTTTGGCCAATAAACCACCAGTTCTAGAACCAGAGAGTGACTGATTCAATCACTAACATCAAAATCTATAACCACCACCAATACAACCAACATCACCATCATCACCACCATCACCACCACCTCTACCTCCACCACCACCACCACCTCCCTTACTCCCAACCACTGTCCATCATCCACCACCATCACCACCAGCAGCCCAACCAAAAGCAGTTCAAACAGAAAAGGACAACACTGACAGGAAGCCTTCCTTTGAAAAAAATATTTAAACCTGACACCCAAACACATAAAACAGAACCAGCAGTCTAAACCTGTACAGTTACTGTATGTGAGATTTAAGCTGTCATTAACAAAGCTTGCATCTGAACATCTGAAAAAAAAAAAAAAAAAAAAAAAAAAAAAAAAAAAAAAAAAAAAAAAAAGGAAAGGGAAAAGTTTCCTTCAGGAGCCTCAAACCATCACATAAGGTGCATGAAACACTATAAGCCAACTATAAACTGCATCTTGGTTTTGTGCTTAAGAAAGGTGGACTAACTCTGCAGAATATCAAAGCCTTCTGTGTGTGCGCATGGTGTGTGGGGGGTGGGGACAGGGAGGCAGGGAGAGGAAAGAAGGCGGTTAAATTGATAGAGGCCAATGACCAATACCACACCAAAGGAGATCCGTCCAGGCAAAGATAGTCTCCTCCTAACCCCTGGACAGTCTCCCTCTCCCGCCCTTTTCCCTTTCCCCCCACCCTAGGAGCCAGTTAGCCCGGAGGAAAATGTGCGTTTGGAAATCGACACTGCAGGTGCCCAAGGAATAAAGAAAGACACACACACACATAGACACACACAAAGCCAATCACTTAGAAAGAAAAAAAAAAGAAAACACTTAAAGGAAAGGGAGAGGGACAATTGGTGACAAGCCCTTCAGATAGCAGCTAGGATTTTATTCTTTCCTCCCACCAGTCCTCCTTGTATACCTTTTTCTGTCCTTTAACTAAATTGCTCATACACACACACACATGTGCCTATGTATGTGTAAAGATAATATAATTAACCCTTTCGGTAACAGAGCCCTATACAAAATACAGAGAGATATTCCATCCTTCCCTCTTCTCTCTCTCCCCTCCTCCCACCTTTCTCCCAACCAGGAGAAAACGCCCCCTTCCCCAGCTTCACCCAAAAAAAAAAAAAAAATTCGAGGGGGTAGCGGGGGGAGGCGCAAAGAAACCATAAAACCCCATCAGTCTCCGGTCCCGAGGATACCAGGGAAAGGTATATACTACACAGACACACACACACGGACATATGACTCTGTAGAAAGCACACAGAGAACCGTCCACAGGCGCCCCAAACCCAGCAGAGAGACTTCCACCAGCCAAGAAGCCATGATTGGGGAGGGAGAGGAGGAAGGAGTGGGGGCAGAGCTCTCTGTGGAGAGGGGGCGCATTGTTGTGATGCCTGAACCCCTTTCTTTCTGCCCATCTGCTGTGGAGGGGGTGCAGGGAGGGGGCGCAGGGGAAAGGCGAGCGAGGAAAAGAGGAGACCAGGCACGGCTTTGCGACTCCCTCCTGCTGCCTGTCTGCCCGCGCCCCCAGCTCCCCCCACCAACAATAAGACCTCAGCCCAGACAGACAGACAGACAGACAGCCCAGAGCGCGGCGAGGGAGGCAGGAGAGCCGGGCGCAGCCGAGTGGGGTCGTGCATAAAGGGAACCCGGGGGGAGGGGGGTCCCCCTTACCTCCAGCGCTTCAAAAGTGACAAAGCTGGTCATGGCAAATCCATCAATGATGTCCTCTTCGGCCGAGGTGGACTCTCTCCGCTTCCTCCGCGGGGGTCTGGGCCGGGACGGGGCGGAGGACGGGGGCTTCCCATTGTCTTCCTTGTCGGAGCCCGACGACGAGGCGAGTGAGAGCGCCCGGGTACGGCCAGCCCCGCCGCCGCCGGCCGCGCCGGCCCCCAGCCCGCCCCGGGAGCGCCTCTCCCGGTCTCGCTGCGACCGCGACCGCCGCTTTTTGCGGAGTCCATGGCCCCGCGTCGGGCCATCCATGGCTCTGCCGCGCCGGGGTCTCCCCGCTCGCCAGCCACAGGCTACGGCCGCGGCCACACACAAAAAAAATTGACACCGAGCCCTCCCTCCCCCTTCACGGCTTCCCTCCGCCCCGAGGAGGGCGCGGGGGAGACGGCGGCCGAAAGAAGGGAGAGAGGGGAAGAAAGAGAGGAGAAAGAAAAGGGGGAAGGGGCGGAGAGAGGGGAGGGGGGACGGGGAGCGAGGGCGAGAAGCGAGGAACCCAAGTGTGGGGCTCCCCACAGCACCAAGGGTCGGAGATGCCTGGGAGCAGCGCCGAGCAAAGTAATGGCTGAACACACAGGTCTCCTTTAGAGGAAAAAAAATAACTCACCAAGCAGGCAATAAATCAGAATAGCGGAATGCTTTGATCAAGAGACTGGGAGGCTCCGGGGAGCCCTCCCCGCGGCCATTCTCCGCCGCGCCCCCCGCCCCCCGAAAACGCCGGCGCCCCCCCTCAACCCGATCCAAAATCGGGTCCGAAAAAGGTCGCGGGAAAAGTGGGGGCAATGAACTTCACCCGCCCCTCGCGCAGGAAAACACCCCCGCCGCCTCTCAAACACGCCTCGGAGAAAACTCACTCCCAGGCTCCCAAATTTTTAAGAAATGCAGCCAGGGGAGGCCGGGGCTCCGGAGCGACCCGAGAGGGGTGAGACTCCCCAGAGAGGGGAGCATAATAATGCAATCATTAGCGGAGGAGAGGCGAAACTGCGAGCGGCGGAGGAGAAGGGAGGCGGAGGAAGGGAAGGAGGATGCTGCTGGAGCAGTTGTGGGGTTTGCTTTTCGGTCTTCGAGGGGGGAGGAGAGGGAGATGAAAGAAGAGAAGAGGCAAACCCTGCCGCTGCCACCCGCCCCCCTCCTCACAAAAATATTTTTTCCAGTCCCAGAGAAGAGGTCACCCTTCCTCAAAAAAGGGAGGGGGTGAGTCAGTCAGTCGAGGAAAGCAGAAAGAAATCTCCAGCGGGAGAGACACCGGTGTGCCGCCGCCGCCGCCGCCGCTTCTCTCGCCGCCCCGCCTGAGGAGAAGTGCAGCCGGGAACGCTGCTCTCGCCGTCGCCGCTAACGCTGCCGCCGCCGCCGCGAAAGCCCCGAGCCGGAGGGTGCACAGCGTGTCCCCGGGCGGCTGCAGCGGGAGCCCGGGCACTGCCCCATCCTCCGCCCGCCCGCCAGCTTCGCGCAGCTCCCGCTCCTCCCCCTCCGCGGCCGGCCCACCGCCGCCGCCCGCCTCAGCCCAGCCCCGCGCCCGCCAGCTTGCTCGTGCGTTCGTTCGCTCGTGTTCGCGCGCTCCCGCGCACCCGCCCTCCCCGCGCCTCGCTCGGCGCGCGCTCCCGCCCCCGCGGCCCCGGCCGCCGGGATCACGTGGACGGCTGGGCTCCCTCCTCCCCCGCCCCCTCCCCAGTTGTAGAGTGTGTAGAAAGCAAAAGGCTGGGGGCTGGCCGCGCTCGCGAGCCCAGGGCATGCGCGCTGGGGCGGCCGGGCCTGCGCACTGGGGGCGGTGGGGAGCCGCGAGGGGGGTGGGGGCGTGGAGGGGGCCGCCCGCGTGGGGTTGGCCGCAGCTGGGCCCGGTTGGCGCGCGAGGGCGTGGAAGCCGCCGGATGATCCGGCCTGTCTCAGCGGGGACGCGAGCGGGCCCCTGCTCCCAGCCCATTCCGCGCGCGCCCCCCACCTCCTCGTCGGGACACTTGCTCCTGGATCCCGTACCCCCGGCCGACCAGAGGCCGCCTTGTAGGGAAACCACCAGACCCCAAGGGTGTTTTCTCTTAACTACCTGCGCTGCGAGGGAGGGTGTTCAGAGAAGGGGCACAAGGGGGGCGTCCCTGGGAGGGGGGCGCGACTGGAGGCGACAGAACTGGGAGCGGGTACCAAAGCGCGGGCCTTTGCTCCGCGGGGCGCAGTGGGAGCACCAACAGGCGGAGTTGGAAACTTTTCCCCCACGTGGCACCACAGTGCGTGGCCGAGTGACCCCGCGCCCGGATGACCCCTGGGATTTCCGCCTCGTCTTCCAGCGGGGGACCTTGGGACGCACGGGCGGCTTCGGATCCGGGAGCGCGAGGCCTAGCAGCTGGGGGCCGAACTTGAACCTCGGCGGCGGCCGCGGGCGAGGGGCGGGGCTCGAGGGGCCGGGACCCGCCCCAGCTCGAGGACCCGTTAGACCCGAAAACCGCAGTCCCTGCCCCGCGGGCTTCCTTTATTTTTGGGGGGGGGGGGTTCACAAGTTTTTCCACCTGAGCCCCTTCCTCCCGCCGCAATGTAGCTGATGCTTATAAAAAGTTGTATTAAAAAGCCGACTGCAGCCCAGAATCGATCACCAAAAGCGACCAGCCTCTCTGGGTAAAATAGTTGTGCGTTTTTCAGAGCACTGGAATTGATCTGTACGGATCAGAAAGACACCGACGGCCCGCTCTCAGCAGCCTCTAGGATGCTCTTCACTTTCTGTCCCGGCACTTAAACACCACGGCACCGTCTCTCCTTCCTCCCTAGTAGCCCAAGCTCGTGGAGGAAGAAAAGGAAAATAAACTGACATGTATTAATTACACACAATGAGCCAGGCACTGTGCTAGAACGCTATGCGTATGCTTTCACCTCTTTAAAACACAAATCTGCACATTTTATTACTATTACTGGAAGGAGAATGATAGAGAAAACAGTAAGGACGTGTTTTCTCTCACAATCTGACACATCTGATTGACTGATTGATTGATTGTTTTTCATTTAACAATTAGGCCTTACCAGGCTTAGCAAGCACAGTTGTAGGTACTCGGAATACAGCGACGTACAAAACAGAAAAGATACTGCTTCTTAGATCTTACGTTCTAGCAGGCAAGCCTCACTTGTCTTATAATTCCTAGTAACAATTTAATAGTTTGTCATTGTCTTGTTTTAGGTCACACTCCTTCAGCTTCCCCATTTCTGAATCCCAGGTCTGGATCTTTATGAAATCTGATGGGGAGATGGGAGTGGAGGGGGGAACGGTAGAAGGAAACATCCACCCGATTGTGACCAAGATAAGGTTTATGCCGGTCCAGGAAACAAACCATTTGACCTTAGGCAAGACTTTTAAATGACTAGTTTTTTCATCTGTAAATCAAAGAGCTTCAATTAAATGTTCAAAATGTTCCTTTTCAGGTCTACCCATGGCCTTCTCAACAGATGACTGCAAGTTGATTTCGTGCTTTATTTCTTAAGAATAGTGACTAACCTACGGGATCTGATTCAATTTACTAGGAACACAGTGCCACCTTCCAAAATTACTTACCTAAGAGGACTGAGCCTGCTGTCTCTGGAGCAGTTAGCTGAAACAGTGCCTCAGAACGGAGCGTACCTGCGTTAACTTCTAGAGTGCTGTTTCCGGCAGCTGCTGATATCCATGCTGAGGTTGTCAATCTCATCCTACAAAATAAAACAAGTTCTTTGCAATTTAAAGCAAAAATCTGGGCTCATTTTTAGGGTTTGGGGGGATGTGAAAGTTGTCTTAGATAAGATTCCAGGAAAACTAGGAATTAATAGTGTAATTACAGTCACTTTTCGACAACTTTGGGGATTGGGCTGAGGGAGGTGTGAAATTGGGAAATTTAATAAAAGGTATTATATTAGTGACTTTGGAGAGTAGCCTTTGGCAGTCCCGTCTTTAAAGAGTAATAACTGGTAGGAAAAAAAATGAATGATAATACACTGCATCCAAGAACCTTGCCTCTGGCGAGCATAATTTGCAAACGCATTTTGGGATAATGTTCAGGGTCCAAGTGTAATCCTCCCTGGAATTAGCAATGCCTTTTGGGTCAGAGTTTCATAGATTTCTTCCATCATACAATTAAAATTGTTTTTGGATTATATTACCCATATTTGTTTCTAATTCTCCATTTTGCCTGTTTTAATTGCCACTGATTAATAACTGCCATATAATAAGCTAAGCATCTATTATGTTTCAGGCACTGTTCTAACTGCATTAAAATAATATTTAATTCTCATAAAGTTTGAGAATGGTTTTATTATACCTATTTTACAGTTGAGTAAACTGAGGCTTAAAGTTAAGCATATTGTCCAAGGTGCTTCCACTGCTTAGTCATAAGCTAAATTTGATCTGAATGACTCCAAAATCTTTATCTTAATGGTTATGCTGAAATGCCCTTCTTAGACTGATTCCTCAAAAAATCAAATGCTATATGTATTGTACAACCACTTTAGAAAGCTGTTTGGCAATATCTGTTAAACATATGAAAACCCTGTGGCCCAACAGTTCCACGCTTAGGAATATACCAATGTCAAATGTATACCAAAAGACTATTAAATCACTCAGAGCAACCCTATTTCTAATAACCCTCAAACAGGAAACAACCCAAATGGTCATAAACGGTAAAAGAGATAAATAATTGGTAGTACATTCATACAACATAATACACTTTACAACACTAAGAATGAACAGTCTGTTTCCAAATGCAGTAAAATATATGGACCTCACAAATAGGCTAAGTGAAAGAAGGGAGACGTACAATTGCAGGAGTCCATTTATATAAAGTACAGAAGCAGACAAAAGTCACTGATGCTATTCAAAGTCAGGATAGTGGTTACCTTGAGAGAGAGCTGATGTCTAGGAGAGAACACCAATACGGCTTCTGGGGCGATGATTATGTTGTTTCTTGAGCTGGGTACTCGTGTGTTCAGTTTGTGAAAATTCATTGAGCTGCACTATTGATATATACATCTCTGGGTATGTACATTATACTTCAATAAAAAGTTTTAAAATGCTGTGTATATATAAATGCATTAGGGTATTGCTTGTGTATATATGAGTACCTATGTAATACTTTTTTTTTGTATTAATGACACTACCCAATGCTTATCAATAGTAAAATAAATAAGATATGGTTTATTTGGGACATAAATGAAGCTGGAAGCCATCATTCTCAGCAAACTAACACAGGAATAGAAAATCAGACACTGCATGTTCTCACTCATAAGCGGGAGTTTAACGATAAGAACACATGGACACAGGGAGGGGAACATCACACACCAGGGCCTGTCAAGGGGTTGGGGGGCATGCGGGAGAGAGCATTAGGACAAATGCCTAATGCATGCGAGGCTTAAAACCTAGATGACAGGTTGATAGGTGCAGCAAACCACCATGGCACATGTATATCTATGTAACAAACCTGCACATTCTACACATGTATCTAGAACTTAAAGTAAAATTTTTAAAAAGATGCAGTTTATTCATACAATACTATAGGCCAAACTTGTGCCCACTCTTAGTCATCACCTCTCTATTAAGGGTAACCACTGCTGTCCTGACTTTAGCATGAACAACTTGTCCGTTTTTGTACTTCATATAAATGGAGTCCTACCATTTATATGAAGTACAAAATACCATATAGTAAACCAAGATGAAGCATAGCATATTATCAGATCTCTTACTGGGTAGCATGAAAGTTAAAGCTCAAACTTGAAATGGTCAGTAGGAATGAACTCATAATTCATAGCAGCAAAAGCTTAGGTGAATTCTTTGCCCAAAAAGAATATAGTTGATAAAGAGTAAAGCTAAAGAAATAATTCCAAAAGAGGTTGCTTGTATAGTAGGGAAAACACTCAAGTGGTTCTGGAAAACACAAAGGGAAAAACTTACATCTGTATTCAGGAATAAACTACTTAACTCAGGAGAGCCTCTTCAGTTGTGCTGGCTTTTATTTGAATCGATGATTAATACTCAAACTACATCTTCAACATTCAACCTTGACTAGTCAGAGAATACCATTATAACTCAGTGATTGAACTGAACTCAGCCTCACACTAGTAAAAGCTATTTTTGTATCAGACTTTCTAAATTGCTAAATTTTTATATCCCTCTGTCTTGCACTTTGCACTCTGCCAGCATGGTAATTATTAGCACATCATTCTTGATATTACATACTGGTTTGTAATATTTGAATTTAATTTATTAGGAAAATTGATTTTAACTCAAGGCAGCTAAGGTTTATGTTTTGGTCATTTGCAACTTCAGTTATTTTGTGTGCATGCGTGTGCTGAGACCAGAGTAGAACTGAGGTGGTTAACAGAGCTATCTCTAAGCCATTTCCAAGCGAGCAAATAAGGAGACTAACACATTTAACATCCCTTCTTTAACCTCCATCCGTTGTTTTTAATAATAACTATTCCTGGGGTGAAGTGATAACTCGCATTAACTGACAGGTAGCCCATCAGCAATAACATTGTTGTAACTTTGCCCTAATTATCACCTGCTGTTTTAATTTTTTTTCACATTGGAAGTTGTTTTTCAAACTGCAGTTTTAATGTTTAAAAAAGGGGGGAGGAGGAGATGAGTGGTTCAATTTGCTAAATGTTGTGTTTCCTTCCATGATATTGTACGATAAACTTTCATCATCTCTGCAGGTGTCTCAGATGAATGACACATCGATCAACCCATATTCTTCAGACTCTGCCATATGAAGCCAATGAAAGATACCTGCTGGTGACCAAATGATGTTCATGTAAAACGGCAGTTCTGGCAAATTTAATAAGCTTTAGTTTCTTTAAAAAAAAAAAAAAAACAGCATTTCTGTCCCTTCTCAGGCCAATGTTTTCTATTTGAAGTTTCACTTGACATGACCAGGTAGGAAAATTGATGGATAGTCGTAAAAAAAACTTTAAATGACTCTTAAAGCTACCAGTGAAAGATCTCAGTATTTATTGCTGATCATGAGCCTGACGATCAATTCTTCTAATAGATTTGGTAGATGACTTATGAATTGTGATTTTTATTTTTTATTTAAAGAGCAGTATAAATCTAAACTGGTCAGATTCAGATAAGATAACATCCCAGTTGAAGAAATTATCAACCCTTTGGAATTATGTAAAAAAAATATGGCCGGGCGCGGTGGCTCACGCCTGTAATCCCAGCACTTTGGGA